TCTCTCTTTCTCTTCTTCCTCTCTTTTCTCTACCCTCTTTCTCCTCTCTCTTTTCTCTACTTCTCTCTTTCTTCTTCCCTCTCTCTTTTCTCTCTTCTCTCTCTCTTCCCCTCTTTCTTTCCCCCTTTCTTTCTCTTTCTCTTTCTCCCTACTTCTCTCTTTCTCTATGTTCCTTTTCTCTCTTCCTTTCTCTTTCTCTCTTTCTTTCTTTCTCTGCTTCCTTCCCTCTTTCTCTATGTCCCTCTTTCTCTACTTCTCTTTCTCTACTTCTCTCTTCTCTACTTCTCTCTTTCTTTACTTCCCTCTTTCTCTGCTTCCCTATTTCTCTACTTCCCTCTTTCTCTATGTTCCTTTTTCTCTGCTTCTCTCTTTCTCTGCTTCTCTCTTTCTCTGCTTCCCTCTTTCTCTACTTCCCTCTTTCTCTACTTCTCTCTTTCTTTACTTCTCTCTTTCTCTACTTCTCTCTTTCTCTGCTTCCCTCTTTCTCTAATTCTCTCTTTCTCTACTTCTCTCTTTCTCTACTTCCCTCTTTCTCTACTTCTCTCTCTCACTTCTCTCTTTCTTTTACTTCCCTATATTTCCTTTCTTCTCTCTTTCTCCTCTACTTCTCTCTTTCTCTCTACTTCCCTCTTTCTCTCTTCTCTCTTCTTCTACTTCTCTCTTTTCTCTATATTTCTACATTCTTACTTCCTTTCTCCTCTTTTTTCTCTATGTTCCTTTTTCTCTGCTTCTCTCTTTCTCTACTTCTCTCTTTCTCTACTTCTCTCTTTCTCTACTTCCCTCTTTCTCTACTTCCCTCTTTCTCTACTTCTCTCTTTCTTTACTTCTCTTTCTCTATGTTCTCTCTTTTCTCTGCTTCCCTCTTTCTTCTCTCTTCTCTCTTTCTCTATGTTCTCTTTCTCTACTTCCCTCTTTCTCTACTTCTCTTCTCTCCTTCTCTCTTCTTTCTCTCTCTTTCTTTACTTCCCTCTTTTCTCTACTTCTCTCGTTCTCTGCTTCCCTCTTTCTACTTCCCTCTCTCTATGTTCCTTTTCTCTATTTCTCTCTCTCTTTTCTCTGCTTCTCTCTTTCTCTACTTCTCTTTTCTCTACTTCCCTCTTTTCTCTACTTCCTCTTTCTCTACTTCTCTTTCTTCCTCTCTCTTTCTCTTCTTCTTTCTCTTTCTTTACTTCCCTCTTTCTCTTCCCTCTTTCTCTACTTCTCTCTTTCTCTTCTTCTTTTCTCCTGCTTCCTCTTTCTCTACTTCTCTCTTCTCCTGCTTCTCTTTCTCTTCCTTCCTCTTTCTCTCTTTTCTCTTTCTCATCTTTTTCTACTTCCTCTTTTTCTCTACTTCTCTCTTCTCTACTTCTCTCTTTCTTCCTTCCCTCTTTCTTCTTCCCTCTTTCTCTACTTCCCTCTTTCTCTATATTCTCTTTTTCTGCTTCTCTCTTTCTCTGCTTCCCTCTTTCTCTACTTCCCTCTTTCTCTACTTCTCTCTTTCTCTACTTCCCTCTTTCTCTACTTCCTCTTCTCTACTTCTCTTTCTTTCCCTCTTTCTCTCTTCTCTCTTCTCTACTTCTCTCTTTTCTACTTCCCCCTTTCTCTCCTTCCCTCTTTTCTCTACTTCTCTCTTTCTCTACTTCCCCTCTTTCTCTTCCCTCTCTCTTCTCTACTTCTCTCTTTCTTTACTTCCCTCTTTCTCTACTTCTCTCTTTCTCTACTTCTCTCTTTCTCTACTTCCCTCTTTCTCTACTTCTCTCTTTCTCTACTTCTCTCTTTCTCTACTTCCCTCTTTCTCTACTTCTCTCTTCTCTACTTCTCTCTTTCTTTACTTCCCTCTTTCTCTATGTTCCTTTTTCTCTGCTTCTCTCTTTCTCTACTTCCCTCTTTCTCTACTTCTCTCTTTCTCTGCTTCCTTTTCTCTCTTCTCTCTTTCTCTTCCCTCTTTCTCTGCCTCTCTTTCTCTACTTCTCTCTTCTCTACTTCTCTCTTTCTTTCTTTCCCTCTTTCTCTTCTCTACTTTCTCTGCTTCTCTCTTTCTCTACTTCCCTCTTTCTCTATGTTCCTTTTTCTCTGCTTCCCTCTTTCTCTACTTCTCTCTTTCTCTGCTTCCCTCTTTCTCTGTTTCCCTCTTTCTCTACTTCCCTCTTTCTCTGTTTCCCTCTTTCCCTCTTTCTTCCCTCTTCCTCTGCTTCCCTCTTTCTCTGTTTCCCTCTTTCTCTGCTTCCCTCTTTCTCTGTTTCCCTCTTTCTCTACTTCCCTCTTTTTCTACGTTCCTCGTTCTCTGCTTCTCTCTTTCTCTACTTCCCTCTTTCTCTGCTTCCCTCTTTCTCTAGTTCTCTCTTTCTCTACTTCCCTCTTTCTCTATTTTCCTCTTTCTCTACTTCTCTCTTTCTGTACTTTTATCTTTCTCTACGTCCCTCTTTCTCTCTAATATGTTCATTAGTGCAAATCTTAGCACTGTAACATGTTCATTAGCGTAAATCTTAGCACTCTAATATCTTCATTAGTGTAAATCTTAGCACTCTAATATCTTCATTAGTGTAAATCTTAGCACTAATATTTTCATTAGTGTAAATCTTAGCACTTTTAATATCTTCATTATTATGAAACTTAACACTGTAATGTCTTCGTTAGTGTGAAAAGTAATATACTAATGTCTACTTTCTAGTCTTCGATTATAATTTATTAATGCATTTATTTTGGTCACATTTGCTTAGGACTCTTCTTGTAGTTTAGATTGGTACTTCAATAGTAATTTCAACCATTATATGACAATTTTAGATCGGTTAAATGTAACCTCACTTGTTTTCATGGATGCCTTTTGTAGAACTTCAAAGGTCTGCCAGTCTTTTCCATATCACAATCATTTTCATATACAAACAGCTAAAATGAGAAGCGCCGCTTATGAGGATGGTGCCTTTGCTGAGAATAGTGTTAGTAAATGAATGATCACATTCAGGAATGGAGATTTTGTTTTGCGAAACCGAGAAGAATGTTCCATCATGACTGCATTCGTTGATAACGACCGAATGGAAAGAACTGTCACGTGATATCTGTCCTCCTGTATGGCAGCGAACACTGGACAATCTCCGTAAAATGAAGAAGAGACTTGAAGCAACAGAAATATGGTTCTACACAGAGATTCCAAGGAAAAGAGGCACTGAACATGTAAGCAACCACGAGGTTTTAGACAAAATGGAAACGAAAAGGATACTTATACTTAACGTCAGTAAGAGGCAGTTGAAATATATGCGGCACATAATGAGGAAGAAAGGCTTGGAAAATCTGATACTCAGAGGACAGATTGAGGGAAAGAGGGACAGAAGAAGCAACGCGTATCATACTGGATGAGTTTCAGTAAATGGATGATAAAACAGGGTTTGTGAGAAATAACAAAAAGAAAAACTTATTAGTACCAGCTACACGGGACAGGAAAATGTGGAGGGCAATGAACGGCTACATACTGAAGAGACTCAGTACATAAAGGAATATATATATATATTGTGTATTTAGGCAGCAATCCTTCATTTATGCATGTTTTATCAAAGACGACAGACAAGCTATTACGATGAAGTTTCTTATTTAATTTTTCTTGTGTTCGAACAAGTGTTTTCTTTTCTGTAATTCCAAGCGCTTTCGGCTATAGTTTTAGCCATTATCAAGGATGATTTTGTTTTTGGGTTTTTAATTGGGTGTATGGGTTGTGTGTAACTTTCTAGAGTTATTTTATTTTCCGAACACAGTTAACACATTGTGGCCGTGTTCGTAGTTAATATTATTGTTGGCTTTTTCTTTTTTTTTATTATTAAGGCTTGAATTCTGTTTAATCTTTATTTTTTTTTACATGTGGAAGAGGTTATTATGTTTGTATTTTCTACTAGTATGTTTCGGATAGAGTTTGGTAAATTTGTATGTGAGTTTAATTGGATTCTACTAGAGCTGTGATCGGATAGGTGTAACGTAAGACGTCTAGATAGATATGTAGTAGTGTGACCAATGTAATTATGAATTCGGTTTGATCAGGAACACAGTACCTTAAAAGCCATTTGAACTCATAAATAATAGTCATTCTTTGAAATTTTGATTTTGCTGGTGTGTTGTTAGTTTTTAGGAAAAGGTTAGCTGGTTTAAATATCTTGTAGTAGATAATTTGATTTATTTTTGTTGAGTACAAGCACGCATACATCAATATAAATAACGTATGTGTTTGTAATGAATATATGTTTATATAACATATATACTTTATACAAAAGAGAGGTAATATATTTAGAGGCATGGCCGCACAATTTGAGTTCAAATATGGATCTTTAATTCTGTTAATAGACACGAACTTGCGTAAATTCCCAAATGGCTAATATAGGTATCCGATGAATTTAATAAAATACTCGTGTTTTATGAACAGAGGGTCAATTCTCCTTGTACTTATGAGGAATCAATATGTTGCAATCAGTCTTCCATTTGCAGACGATAATTTGAAGCCGTTTTTTATTGTTAGTACAAGCACGAATACATCAATATAAATAACGTATCTATGTTTGTAATGAATATAAATACATGTACACCCACGCTATCCCATATATATCTCCCAATATATATATATATATGTGTGTGTGTGTGTGTGTGTGTGGTCATACAAACTCAATTTGTTCCAGTGCGTAAAAAAATGACATCATGCCCATTTTATAGACTATATCGATATATTGATTATATAAAAGAGTAGAAGAAAAAAACTTAACTTATTTAAAAGGGTGGGGGGGCTTGCATAAAGAAATGAAAGACATAACAAGGCGAAACAAAAGAAAAAGATCTTAACTACATAATACCGATCAATAATAAAAAGAAAACAATAGCACTAACCCCATGCCAACCATTGCAACAAGAACGAAGTGATTCGTACAATGACCTGAAAATATTCGGTCATCAACTATTGGCCATTTATTGACTTATTAACATACTTTTATTTTTTTGGTTATTGTTTATTTTTTGTCTTTTTATACACGGTCTTTTGATATTTTTTTATGTGTTCTTATTTATTTATTTTTCTTCCGTTTTTTTTTCCTTTTTTTCTTATTTTTTTTTTACATTTTCTTTCTTTTTTCTATCGTCCTGTCATTTATTCTATCGTTACTGCGTTATTTTTTTTTCGTTTCTTTTTTCTTTTCGCGTTTTTGTTGCATTTATCCGTTGATTCTGTGTTTTGCATCATTTCTTGTTCCTTAGGTTCCCTCTTTCTCTACGTTCCTCTTTCTCTACGTTCCCTCTTCCTCTACTTCCCTCTTTCTCTACGTTCCCTCTTTCTCTACGTTCCTCTTTCTCTACGTTCCTCTTCCTCTACTTCCCTCTTTCTCTACGTTCCTCTTTCTCTACTTCCCTCTTCCTCATGTTTTCTTTCTACTTCCCTCTTTCTCTACATCCTTCTTCCTCTACGTTCCCTCTTCCTCTACGTTTCTCTTTCTCTACTTCCCTCTTTCTCTGTCCTTCTTCCTCTACGTTCCCTCTTTCTCTACTTCCCTCTTTCTCTACGTTCCCTCTTCCTCTACGTTCCCTCTTCCTCTACGTTCCTCTTCCTCTACGTTTCTCTTTCTCTACTTCCCTCTTTCTCTACTTCCCTCTTCCTCTACGTTCCCTCTTTCTCTACTTCCCTCTTCCTCTACGTTCCCTCTTCCTCTACGTTCCTCTTCCTCTACGTTTCTCTTTCTCTACTTCCCTCTTTCTCTACTTCCCTCTTCCTCTACGTTCCCTCTTCCTCTACGTTCCTCTTTCTCTACGTTCCTCTTTCTCTACTTCCCTCTTCTTCTTCCCTTCCTTCTCTACTTCCCTCTTCCCTACATTTCTTCTTCCTCTACGTTCCCTCTTTCCCTACTTCCCTCTTTCTCTACATCCTTCTTCCTCTACGTTCCCCTCTTCCTCCTACGTTCCCTCTTCCTACGTTCCTCTTCCTCTACGTTTCTCTTTCCCCTGCTTCCTCTTTCTCTTCCCTCTTCCTCTACGTTCCCTCTTTCTCTACTCCCTCTCTTTCTACGTTCCCTCTTCCCTACTTCCCCCTCTTCCTCTACGTTCCCTCTTTCTCTACTTCCCTCTTTCTCTACTTCCCTCTTTCTCTACATCCTTCTTCCTCTACGTTCCCTCTTCCTCTACGTTCCTCTTCCTCTACGTTTCTCTTTCTCTACTTCCCTCTTCCTCTACTTCCCTCTTCCTCTACTTCCCTCTTTCTCTACGTTCCCTCTTTCTCTACTTCCCTCTTTCTCTACATCCTTCTTCCTCTACGTTCCCTCTTCCTCTACGTTCCTCTTCCTCTACGTTTCTCTTTCTCTACTTCCCTCTTTCTCTACTTCCCTCTTCCTCTACTTCCCTCTTTCTCTACTTCCCTCTTCCTCTACGTTCCCTCTTTCTCTACTTCCCTCTTTCTCTACATCCTTCTTCCTCTACGTTCCTCTTCCTCTACGTTTCTCTTTCTCTACTTCCCTCTTTCTCTACTTCCCTCTTCCTCTACTTCCCTCTTTCTCTACGTTCCCTCTTTCTCTACTTCCCTCTTCCTCTACGTTCCCTCTTCCTCTACGTTCCTCTTTCTCTACTTCCCTCTTTCTCTACGTTTCTCTTTCTCTACTTCCCTCTTCCTCTACATTCCCTCTTTCTCTACTTCCCTCTTCCTCTACGTTCCCTCTTTCTCTAACTTCCCTCTTCCTCTACGTTCTTTCTTTCCTTCTTTCTTTATCAGGCGCAAACTATTTTTTTTCTTTTCTTCTTGTCTTCTTTCTTAAACTGGCGCATTCTTTCTTCCATTCCCATCTTTCTTTACTTGATATGTACTGCCTTTTCCCTTCTTTATTTCTTGGATTCTTTCTTTCTTTCTTTCTTTCTTTCTTTTTTTCTTTCTTTCTTTTCTCCTTGTTGAATTCTTTCTTTACTTGCTAAATTCTTTCTTTCTTTCTTTCTTTCTTTCTTTCTTTCTTTACTTGCTAGATTGTTTCTTTTTATACTTGGATTGTTTCTTTCTTTCTTTATTTGCCAGATTCTTTCTTTCTTTCTTTTCTACTTTCTAGATTCTTTCTTTCTTTTTTCACTTGCTAGATTCATCTTCATCTATTTATTTTTTTACATGCTGCTCCTTTCTTTCCCCCCTTTCTTTCCTTGATAGATTCTTTCTATGATCACCGAAGTTAAGCAACGTCGTGACTTGTCAATACCTATGTGAGTGACCACTCGGGAATACCAGCTGCTGTAAGCTTCGATGTGTGCGTGGTTTAATGGAAAATGGCTTGGAATTGTTAATAAGAGAACCGAGAGTTCCAATTCCAGTTGAGTTCGTTATATTCACTTACGCGAAAATACTCTGGGGTAAGGTATGAATCCACCTCTTTTCCCCCAGTTATGGGTTAATTAGTAAGACATATCACTAAATCATACTTATTATAAAACGCAGATTGCGTGTGTGTGTGTGTGTGTGTTCGTTTATATATGGGATCGGATTTCCTACATTTTTCAACCGATTTCAACAAAACTTCACAGGACTACGTAAAATTACCTTGCGTTGGTTCTGATAGCGCCAAAAATTGAAAAAACACAATTGTTTTGCACAAAAATGAATTTGAAAACACGATTAAGAGGCATCGCGAAATGAAGGGGGACAACGTATATCGAGTTATACTTATTATAAAACCCAGGTTGTTTGTGTGTGTGTTTTCGTTTTGTTGAAATCGGTTTGAAAAAATATGGAAATCCGATCCCATATATATATGGGATCGGGATTACCTACATTTTTCAACCGATTTCAAATAAAACTTCACTTTTTTTTTTTGGCAGGTAGTGTTTCTATTCTCTTGCACACTTTTTTTCTTTATTCAGAAGGCTTTTAAAATTTTTATTCATTCAGAATGCTTTAAAATTCCATTTACAAGACAATTGTTTATAATAAAATTCTATTCAATCGGTAGACTCATAACGATTGAAAACAATGTTTTTGTTTGAGTTTGGGTTTGACCAATTCGTAAAAAACAAACAAACAAAACAAAACAAAACAAAAAACTAATTAAGACATGCGTGTCCGTTAAACTTAAACGATGTCAATTTTATTTTTCAGTCTTTATGATGGTCGATACTTGATCTATCTCTTACTGCTACATCCCCGGGCAACGCCGGGCTCTACTGCTAGTAATTAATACAACCCCCTTAAGAAAAAAATATTTTCACAATCTAAAAATATTTTCTGGATTAAAATAACCTGTAGAAATCGAATCAGTCTTTCTTCGTTTCTTTAATGTGTAATTCGTTTACAATCTTTTTTTTACCTGTAGTGTTCTTACTGTGTTTGCTATCAGCTCTGGGTCGTTTGCATATTTAATGATGTTTTAGGTTGTGACCACAAATAATGAATCCTTTTAGGACTTCTAATATTCTCAGGATTGCTTCACTGTAAAGTTTCAATAAGTATGCAATCATAATGTTCCATGACCAATTTTGATTTCAGGATGGTTCTTATCAATGGACGGGGATAAAAAATGTTCTACGCAGGATGTTCGATATCAATGTATAATCTTCGATATCAGTGTATAATGTTAGATATCAGCGTATAATGTTTGATATCAGTATATAAAGATCGGTATCAGTGTATAACGTTCAATATCCGTATATAATGATCGATTTCAGTGTATAATGTTAGATATCAGCGTATAATGTTAGATATCAGCGTATAATATTCGATATCAGGGTATAATGTTAGATATCAGTATATAATGATCGATATCAGCGTATAATGTTTGATATCAGTATATAATGATCGGTATGAGTGCATAATGTTCAATATCAGTATATAATGATCGATATCAGTGTATAATGTTCAATATCAGTATATAATTATCGATATCAGTGTATAATATTAGATATCAGGGTATATTGTTAGATATCAGTGCATAATGTTCGATGTCAGAAATGAATCTAGATGGCTTGCGTTAAATGCACTTAAAGTAAAGGCCAATATTTCAAACAGTACCTATGTATTGATTAAAATAAATGCTTTATTTTTCATTATGCGTTTACTGAAGAATGAACTAATTGTGCATGGCAATGAATCAATAAATTCGTAAATTGACACGTAGTTATGAACGAAATATTTTTTTAATAATTTCGCCCCAAGCAAGGCATTCAAGCCACTAAGACGCAGTGGGGTTACTGAGTATGAAAGAATATTTGAAAAACATTATTAAGGAATGAGAACAATCAAAGAACAGAAAATAAGAAAACAGATGATATTGCTTTTGAAATTTTGAAGATCAAATTTTTCTGGGAAAAACAAGATGGCGGATGAGAGATTCACAAGCGAGAAGTGCGAGAGAAAAAAATTGTTTCATTTCAACATTTTTAATGAATAACGTCCAAGCAATGTAAATAATACTTACGAATGAATTTAGCAAGTTCACAAGGTATAAGATGCTATTTCAATAAATTCTTTGCGTAAGATGAAAGCCTTTTAAGATAAAATTAAATCAACTTTTTTTAAATTAAATTAATTTTAATATTTATAAATATTTTGTATAAAAGAATGATTTTTAAGTAAATAAATGCGTAAATTAAAATGCATATTTTTCAGAATGCCGAATTACACACACACACATACATATATATATATATATATATAT